GTCTGAATACTTAATCAACGTGTTGTTTAAAAGTATAATTTGGTCTGAATACTTAATCAACGTGTTGTTTAAAAGTATAATTTGGTCTGAATACTTAATCAACGTGTTGTTTAAAAGTATAATTTGGTCTGAATACTTGAGTTTGTAATAATTTAAGACAGTTAAATCAGTTAAAATTATTTTGAGTAGTTGTTTATAATCAGTTAACATGGTTGTAGTCCTAGTAGTTTTGTGTGATTTTCTGTTCTATTATAACTTGCAGGTGGTTGGACTTACTGAGACCCATGCTAAGGCTTCAAAGGAAGTCCAAGAAAAACATTCTGCAGAAATAGAAACACTAAAACAACAACACCACAAACTATTAGAAGGTGTGTTTATAGTACCTTTAACAAAGGAACTTGCATTTACAGGTTAAGTCTATTCGAAAATAAGAGTATAAAATGTAACACAATTTGACACCGACTAAATAAGTCTTCTACTCTTTCTCCAAATGAAACAGATTTATGGTTTATATTGCTTAGAGACGGCTTGAATGGGTAATGAAGAAAAACGTTAGTATAAGTTTAACATAACAGCAAATGTACAACGTTTCGACAAAGGTTTTGTCATCATCAGGTATATGGTTTCTTATGGTTGCACAAAAATTTGGGCAAGATATACAAGTATGGATTGTACCATTTATCAACTGGGAACATTTGAGTTATTTTGATCTGCTTGGGCAAGATGTACAAGTATAGATTGTACCATTTATCGACTGGGAACATTTGAGTTATTTTGATCTGCTTGGGCAAGATATACAAGTATAGATTGTACCATTTATCGACTAGGAACATTTGAGTTATTTTGATCTGCTTGGGCAAGATATACAAGTATAGATTGTACCATTTATCAACTGGGAACATTTGAGTTATTTTGATCTGCTAGTATATTGAACTTCAGAGAATGATATAACCTCAGCTGGTTTATTATCCAAGAGGGGGTGAAGGTATTGTAATCAGGTCTGTGTGTGTGTGTGTCTACCTGTGTTTCCATGTACTTATCTTGAAAACTAATAGCCTGATGTTCACGAAAATTTTACACATGATGGGAAGTCAGTATGGGACAGTCCTCCCCAAATTTGGTCTTAGTCTGGATCACTTTGAAGCATTTTTTATAATGGGGAGATAGGGCAGTTTTGGGTTAATAACTCTGTGAATTGTGGTCGGATTTGTACCAAATTTTATGGGCACATTAAGGTTAAGACTCTTCATCCCACTACGAAAAAGGATCCATTGTTGATCATACTGTGACTGTAAAGGATTGTCTGAGTTTTTGAAGGTGAAATTTGATGTTATCCAATATAAATGCTTGTAATCTCGAAAAGTAGTGGCAGGGCAAGGGTATGCAATGAATAAAAACCTAATAACCCGATCACTTTAGAAAGGTCCACTTTAGAAGTGATCGGGTTATAGGGTTCTTATTCATTGCATTAAAGGTTTTTACATTGAAAGATGGCTTGTTGTATCCCACAGAACTTGAAAAGGACTATACAGTTCGTCTGAAAGATGTGGAACAGAGTCACAAAGTCATGATCATGTCCTTAAAAGAACAGAATGACAAGTTTCACCAGCAACTTGAAGAATTGGAGCAAGAGAAGCAGTCTATTGAAGAAACATTGAAACAAGACACAGATTCAAAAATCCAGGTTTGGAACTTGACTACACTAAGCACATACTTGTGAAATTCTTGTTAAAGTTGGCTTGTATCAAGGTATCAAATAACTGTAACTGTTAAACCCTCAGTTTGTATAAAGGTAATAAATAAAGGTAACGTTAAACCTTCTGCTAATATCAAGGCATTAAAATAAAGGTAACATTAAACCCTCAGTTTGTATCAAGGTATTAAATAAAGGTAACGTTAAACCTTCTGCTAATATCAAGGCATTAAAATAAAGGTAACTGTTAAACCCTCAGTTTGTATAAAGGTATTAAATAAAGGTAACGTTAAACCTTCTGCTAATATCAAGGCATTAAAATAAAGGTAACTGTTAAACCCTCAGTTTGTATAAAGGTATTAAATAAAGGTAACGTTAAACCTTCTGCTAATATCAAGGCATTAAAATAAAGGTAACTGTTAAACCCTCAGT